ACTCTGCTTATTTTGTGCCTCGGAAGTCATTGGTTTAACTCACACTCTACGCTGGTAGAGCCTCATTTACGCAACAAAGAAACCCAGTTCCCAAATGGGATGATGCCCCCCCCAAAAAAAAATTAATAAACTCACTGCCATCGAGTGGATTCCGACTCATAGCAATCCCCATTAGGTTTCCAAAGCAGTAAACCTCTATGGAAGTAGATTGCCCAGTCTTCCTTCCACGGAGCATCTGGTGGGTTTGAACCGCCAGTCTTCTGGTTAGCAGTCAAATGCCTTAGATGGTATACCCCCAGAGCTCCTTATCCACAGGTATAGGGATTAGGATTTACAATGTCTATTTTGAGGGGACACAATTCAATCCTTAGCAGAAGGGAACAGAAATATTTGCAAAGAGCCTTTTTGGCAACCACCACAGGCAGCACCACCACCCCAGGCGAATATGAGCAAAGAGAAGGTCCCTTTTCCTTTCCCACTGGAGAAGGGGAGCTGAGGCTCCCTTTAACTCACCTCTCAGCAAAATAACAAAAGTGCTATGATAGTGAGCTTTGAGGCCAGACCACTACCTCCCCAGATGATCTTGGGCAAGTTTCTTAACACCCCCAAGCCTCCTTTTCCTCTTTATATATGTACCTGCTTTGGAAGTGACTCCCAAAGGCTGTGAGGTAGCACATGTATGGGCTTAGCATGGTGCCTGGCACATATGAAGCACTTAGGCAATGTTACTGCAGCCTAGGCTTCCTGCTTTCTGTACAATGGCGATCACTGGGAATACCGCCTTGTAGGGTGGTTGTCTGCATCTAGTCATACCTGCAAATCACTTAGTGTGGTCCCTGGATCCTGGTAGGAGTCCAGAAAATGCCTCTGAGAGGCTGCTTGGGTTTCTTCAAGGGCCTCTGGACAGAAAGAAGGAAAAAGAGGAGAATCAGTGAGTCTGTTCAGGTTACAAGACCAGAGCCAGGCTTGGGGTGCCCCTGAGGGGGCTTTATTCCAAGTGTCTATGGCTAGAACCAGTGCCACTCAGAACTGGGAGGCTCCTCCCCACAGACCAGGAGCTCACAGTGGCCTCCTGTGCACAGCCAGCAGCAGCTCTGCTCTGACCACTACGGATGCAGCTTGCCCATCTCAAGTTCTGTTTCCTCCTTCCGAGTCTGCTTTCTAAGGAGCTCTGGTGGTGCAGTGCCTAATGCATTGGACTGCTAACCAGCAGGTTGGTGGTTCAAACCCACCAGCCACTCTGTGGAAGGAAGATGGGGCAATCTACTTCTTTAAAGACTTACTGCCTTGGAGACCCAGTGGTTTCCAGCAGTGGGCTGGAAAAGAGTCGAACGTGAGTGTCGCCTTCTGGCTTTAGGGGGTAGTGGTGGCTCAGAAGTAGAATCTCACCTCCCGTGTGGGGGACTCTGGTGTGATTCCTGGCCAATACGCCACAAGCAAAGCCGCTACCTGTCTGGCCCTGAAGCCCTGAGTGTTGCTAGAATGCCAGACAGGTTTCCGTGGAGCTTCCAAAATCCACTCAATGACAGCGGGTTTGGTTTGGTTTCTTGGTACTCTGCTGTCTAGGAGTCCCTGGGTGGCGCAAATGGTTAAATGCTCGGCAACAAACTAAAAGGTTGGCAGTTCGAGTCTACCCAGCGATGCTTTGAAAGAAGGCTCTGGCAGGCTACTTGGGAAAAATCAGTCCCTGCAAACCCCGAAGAGCTGTGCAGTTCTGCTCTGACACACAGGCGTCACCGTGAGTCAGAATCCACTCAATGGGAACTCTGTTCTGTTTGTTTAAACTTGACTTTCCAGTTTTTCACTCTCTCCCCATGCCCTCCCCGCAACTCCTGCTCATTTCACACTCACAGTGCTTCCTGGGCCCTGCTTAGGCTTATGCGCTCTCTCCCTCTCTCTCACTCTCTCTCTTTCTGTCTCTTTTTCTCTCTCTGACTCCTTGACACCCAACAGGGCACTGACCAGCCTAGAAGAGGCTCTGTGGAGCTTGCCTGCCTACACGTGCTCTGTTGACAGGATGGGGTGTATGACAAAGGGGCCACACCTCATGGAACCAAGCTCCAGGGCTTAGGGGAGGGACAGCTTCTCAGGAGGGGGCAGTGTAACTGGCAGCCCAGAATGTGGGGTCTGCGGTCTGTCCATCTGGTTTGAACCCCAGCCTCACCACAGACCAGCTGTGTATCCTTGAGTAGGTCACGTCTTACCTGATGATATGTCTCCCCTTCTATGGAATGGGAATAATAATAATGCTCAATTAGAGTTGCTATGGGAGCTCTGGTAGCATAGTGGCTAAGACACTTGCCTGCTAACCAGACGGCTGGCGGTTCAAACCCACCAGCCACTCCTTGGAAGGAAGGTTGG